GGAAGAGCTGGTAAGGGGTAAATTTATCGTTTCGTCGGCATTTGTGCCGCGACGCGGCGGCTCTTCTTTTTCTTTCTCTCTCTCTCTCTCTCTTTCTTGCTCTCTCGCTCCGCCGATGGGCGGAGAGGAGAAAGAGAGGTGGCCTTTTCACATAAATTCATTTCAGCTGTAAAACGTGAACGCGCCAAATGAGCACCGCTTCCATATTAGGTCACGGCTCACGGTGATACCGAAGAGTCGTTGTTCATGCCGAACCGGCGAGAGAGTAGGCCTCAATCTATTTGCACCGTACATTATATACGTAGCCATCTGTGTATGGCGTGTATGTCACGTTGTCCGTGCGCTTATTAACGTCTGAAAATATTGCGGAGCAGCGAGTAGAACGAAAATGGATTATCCTGCGTGCAATAGTATTCTCGTTGAAATTTATCTTCGTTCGAAGTGACTGAATCGCAATCATTTCTGCGCAAAAGGACGAAGGAATATCTTCGTTATTCGCGCCTGATATTTACTGATTCCGAAGTTTCGCTCGGATTCGATTATTCGCGAAAGTATCCTCGACGATCGTTCAAGTAGCAGACGTTTAAGCGACAGCTGTAAAAAAAAAAAAACAGCATAAGGGAACGGGTCCCGCGATCAATCGTTTTGCCTGGGCGATCTTTTAATTTATATCATCGTGTTTTAAGTGACTCATGTAATAGCCATACGTTATAAGCCGCCGCGTCACCGAACGTGAGCGATTATTTACGGTGATTGCACGACGCGAAATCAAATTTAATAATGAGTTTGATCTCATCGTGATCCTTCGACCATCCATTTCTTAGCACAATGTTCATTTCTCGAGCAAGAATATATCATTAATATAACTATGTATAATATTATTAGAGATTTTGAAACCAGGACAACAGTTCTCGTCTTTGTGTTATAAATGTAATCGAAAAATCATAATTTAGATTTTTATCTTATTTTAATGAAAATTATAATTTTATTTGGAATATATCTGCGCAGTATCTTATTAAGATTCCCTATTAATATAAGATATATCGTATTTTTTGTCTCAGAATTTGTCGCATTCATCTGGGAAAAATGATTGCCGTCGTTCCGTCACGCGTCATGGGAGAAAGAATCTCCATCGAGTTCCATCACTCATCGTGGCGAGAGAAAGGTAGGACTTATTAAAAAATTAAAAGATTTTCAAATTAATTAGAGATACGGAAAAATTGGCACGATGCGTGAGAATCGAGTTGATTAGCCTGGCGGGACCAGACACTAATTAAAGCAACGAGAAATCTACGATTTGTTGGCCGGCGTTAAAACTGCCACGAGATAATTCCGATGAGAATTAAATTCTGCATCTTATCTTTCGTGTATATCGGTGAGACACATTTATAACGATGGATCTCAAATATGTGATGCGTCGCAACATCCACCCACAACGCACGCATTGTCCAAGATGGCGCGTTTCTTTTTCTGCCTGACTCTACGTTATTATATCCTCAGCGATTTTATGCCCCGCGAGTCGACCTTATTAAAGGTAACGAGCCCGAGTGTATCGTGTCCGGGCAATAAAATATTTCGCGCAATATTACCGCGTCATTGAGATGGTCTTGACTCGTTATTTTCTCAAAATGAGAGGGGGGATGATTTAATCCGACTAGAAAGAGACGGATCTC